CTTTCGGTGCCGACCAGGAGCCACGTAGCGAGCCAGAAGGCCAAGAGGGTACGCGAGGTCGGGACGAGTGCAAGTCATCAGGTACATGAGACAGCCAACTAGCTCTGGGTAAGGACCACTTGGCTCTACGGACTCGTCCGAAGGTGGAGCTGAGAGCGAGTGACCTGTAGCCAGAGGAGTGGCCTGTGCCGAGGACCAGGTGAAGCCGAAGCGCTGAAGGACCTGCTGCACCATGTGTGACTGAGTCAGTGTGATGGTGCGGCCTGCTCTGTCTTGGGTGATCTGCAAGCCAAGGTTGCTGCGCAGTTCACCCAGGTCTGTGCACGTGTGTCTCTTCTGCAGCTCCGACTTCACCAGGGCGAGAGCCTCAGTGTCAGCAGTGGCAAAGACCAAGTCGTCGACGTACACGAGGATGTAGAACGGCGGCAGCGAAGTGTCGGTGCGCAGAAACAGCGACGGGTCAGCAGTAGAAGGCGCGAACCCAAGAGCCGCAAGTGTAGTCCTCAGTGTGTCGTGCCACTCACGTGGCGCCTGGCGGAGACCGTAGACCGGCCGCCGGAGGCTCCACTGGGTACCGGGAGGGAACGACCCAGTGAAGCCAGGAGGGCGGCGCAGCCAGATCTCCTCGTGCAGGCTGCCCTGCAAGAAAGCTGTGCTGAAGTCAAGAGAGTGAAGCTCGTAGTCACGCTGAGCGGCAACGTGCAGTAGCACCCGAAGAGTGGTCATCTTCGGGGTGGGGGAGAAGGTCTGGAAGAAGTCTACTCCCTCTCGCTGACTGAAGCCTCGAGCAACGTAACGAGCCTTGAAGACAGGCGGAGAACCTGGCGGCCGCTTCACCCTGAAAATCCACATGCCACTGACGATGTTCGCCCCAGGAGGGGGAACCTCGTCGACGTAAGTGCCAGTGGAATTCCAGGATGCCATCTCTGCGTCCATGGCTGACTGCCACTGAGAGGAGTACTCACCCGCGATCGCCTCAGCGTAAGAGCGCGGGGTCGGGATGTCTGGTGCATCCGGGTCTCCCTCAGGTGCAATCAGCATGGACACGAGATGAGGTACAGCGGCGGCAAAGCACTCAAACTCCTCCTGCCTGTCCTCAAGGACGTCCGTGCCAAGAGCACACTCACCCCAGACGGACAGAGGACAGACACACTCAGACTCAGACTCAGCAACAAGACTCGCAGCGTAGTCTAGACGACAGTGAGCAGCAAAGTCGACAAGCTCAGCAACTAAGGCAGACGCATCAGCTGACTCAAAGGAAGGGTCAGTGACAGCAGTGGCCAGGAGACGCGTGACAGTAGGACTGGCAGCACGAAGAGAGTCACACTCCGGGTCAGCAAGGGTAGGAAGAGAGGACGCAGGAGGAGAAGGCAGCGGGACACGCTGTGGAGCAGTGGAAGGACGAAGCGCCACCTGGTGAGTGCCTGGGACAGCAGGAGGACGCTGACGCGGGACACGACGACCAGTGCGAGTAGCACGAACAGGTGACGGAGACCGAGACTCAGGCGACACAGGACGAGACTCAGGCTCACGATGCTCCGTAAGACCGCCTGTCAGACCAGTGTAGGGAGAAGGACCAGGGAGTGGCGAGGCAGGCGGTAGCTGTGACAGCGACTGGACAGGCGGAGGACACTCTAAGGAGGGAGCAGGACAAGGAGGAGGCGGCTGACCAAGAACCTGCTGAAGGAGGGGAACGAAGTACGGCTGTGGCCGTGAAGTGCCCCCAGAACCAGCAGAGACAGCACCAGAACCTCCAGCAGCAGCTCCAACTCGCTCAGCATCACCAGCAGCTCCAGTACCTCCAGCAGCAACAGCAGCACCTCCAGCAGGACCAGCACTAGCAGCACCTCCAGCAGCACCAATACCTCCAGCAGCACCAGCCCCAGTACCAGCAGCACCACCAGCAGCTCCAGCAGCTCCAGTACCTCCAACAGCACCAGCAGCACCTCCAGCAGGACCAGCTCCAGCAGCTCCAGTAGCACCCCCAGTCCCAGCAGCTCCATTACCGCTAGTACGAGCACCTCCAGGACCAGTGACTCCAGCACCTCCAGCGCCAACCCGAGGGTCAGCAGCAACACCAACTCGAGTAGGCTCAGCGCCCTCAGCTCCAGCTCCAGTAGCACCTCCAGCTCCCACAGCACCACGGCGGCGGCGACAGTACCGAGAGTACCACTCACACAGCTGCTGGGAAGAGAGAACGCCCCCAGGCGCAGCACCCCCAGGCTCAGGACCTCCAGACTCAGCACCCCCAGGGACAACACCCCCAGTCTCAGCACCCCCAGGCTCAGCACCCGCAGTCTCCGCACCCCCAGGCTCAGCACCCCCAGTCTCCGCACCCCCAGGCTCAGCACCCCTAGTCGCAGTACCCCCAGACCCAGCACCACCAGGCTCAGCACGCTCAGGCTCAGCACGCTCAGGCTCAGCACGCTCAGTACCTCGCGCAGGACCAGAGTCGGCAGCTACCTCGACAGGCTCGACCGGGTCTAACTGGGAAACACCTGAGGGAGCAGGACCCTGGGGAGGCAGGGGGTCTACCGAAGCAGCACCTGGCGTGAGGAAGAGCGGCGGAGGGGGGAGCGGGGCAGTGCGGTAGGGGAAGAGACGGTAAAAGGGGACCGACTCGTCAAACGTGACGTCCTGAGAGGGGAAGACACGGCGCGAGGTGGGGTGGTAAAACTGCCAGCCAGGCGCGTCAGGGACAAAGCCCAGGAAGACACAAGGAACGGCACGGGAGGAGAGCTTGTCCGCGGACGTATCGCGGACAAAGGCACGAGATCCCCAGACACGGAACACAGACGCATCGCCAACCGCTCCCGTCCAACGCAGTGTCGGCGAGGTCTCCGGAACGGAGACACGGGGCCAGAGGTTGAGCTGATGCGCGGCGTACCGGACCGCAAACGGCCACAGAAAATGGGGGGTAGCCGCATGGATCAAGGAGGTACGAGCGACCTCCATGACCAAGCCAATGCGGCGCTCAGCAACCCCATTCTGCTGAGGAGAGGCCGGAAGCGTGAACGTCTGCTCAATGCCCTCCCCCTGACAGAAGGCCTCCAAGAGGCCGGAGGAAAACTCACCACCTCTGTCAGAGTGCAGTCGCAGGACGGGAAGGTCCGTGCGAAAGCGCCTCTCTAGCTGGAGACGAGTAGCGCGGATCCAAGGGATCAAGACAGCAGGGACCTCTCCTTTGGTGCGCAAGGGGAAGACCGTGCACAAGGCCACTACAAAAAGCTCCCGAACTACCCACTCCAGGACGACTCCCACTACTGCCACCCCGACAACCCCAACTGGCGTACCACTCACGAAGCTGCTGGGGCGTGAGGGACACACGCGGACGGCCCTGGAGCTGCATCTGACCATGCCAGGAGCAGTAGTAGAAGCAGGAGCAGCAGGAGCAGCAGTAGCAGTAGCAGCAGGGGCAGGGCAGTGCTCACCAGTGGTGGGAAGGGCAGGCGCACGACGGAGGCGACTGCGGGGCCGCTACAGCAGCAGGGCGGGGCCGCGACCGCGGCAGGAAGCTCCGCGGCAGCTGGTGCAGGGCAGGGACAGGGCCGCGACGGTCGCTGCTGCAGGGGCGGCTGCTCCAGGGGCCAGGGGCAGCTCCTGCAGTGGTGGCTGCTCCAGTGGCCAGGGGCGGCTGCTGCAGGGGCGGCCACTCCAGGGACCAGGGTCGGCTGCAGGTGCGGCTGCTCCAGGGGCCAGGGGCGGCTGCTGCAGTGGCGGCTGCTCCAGGGGCCAGGGGCGGCTGCTGCAGGGTCGGCTGCTCCAGGGGTGGCTGCTCCAGGGGCGGCTGCTGCAGGGGCGGCTGCTCCAGGGGCGGCTGCTCCAGGGGCCCGGCGCGGGGTAGGGCAGGGCGATGCAGCGGGCAGGGGCGACGCGGCGAGCAGAGCGACGCGGCGGGCAGGGGCGACGCCGCGGGCAGGGGCGACGCGGCGAGCAGGGCGACGCGGCGGGCAGGGGCGACGCCGCGTCAGCAGCTGGGCGCGGCCGCGTCAGTAGGAGGGCGCGGCCGCGTCAGCAAGAGGGCGCGGCCGCGTCAGCTGCAGGGCTGGCGGGGCCGCGTCACGGCAGGGCGGGGCCGCGACTGCGGCCTGACGGGGCCGCGACTACGGCCTGACGGGGCCGCGACTGCGGCCTGACGGGGCCGCGACTGCGGCCTGACGGGGCCGCGACTGCGGCCTGACGGGGCCGCGACTGCGGCCTGACGGGGCCGCGACTGCGACCTGACGGGGTCGCGTGCTGGTCTGACGGGCCTGCAGAGGCTGCGTGCGGGTGGCGAGGGCCTGCAGGGGCGGCGCGCGGTCGGGCAGAAGCTGCGCACGGGCGGCGTGGTCCTGCAGGGGCAGCGCGCCGACCTGACGGGCCTGCAGGGGCGCCTCTCGGGCCTGACGGGCCTGCAGAGGCGGCTCAAGGGCCTGACGGGCCTGCAGAGGCGGCTCGGGGGCCTGACGGACCTGCAGGGGCGGCTCGAGGGCCCTACTAGCTTGCAGGGGCGGCGCACTGGCCTAGGGCAGCAGGAGGCAGCGCGAGGGCTGCAGGACGGCGCGCAGGCAGAACGAAGGGCGGGGCGCGCGAGGGCGCACTAGCAGAAAAAAGGGGGCGCACGAGGGCGCACGAGCAGAGAAAGGCGCACGAGGGCGCACGTAAGGTAGGGCGCACGAGGGCGCTTCTAGCGGAATAGTGGGCCCGTAGTAGTAAGCGGTCCTAGGTGGCAACCTAGGCTCGTGATACCATGTCAGAATGAACAAGAGTGATTGCACTAGGAAAGAGTTGGGTACAAGTAGGAAACCCTAAACTTACTGTACCCCATAGTGACTACCCCACTACAGCCTAAACAAACTGTAGTAGACATAACATTTGACACGTTCGTTCAAAATGACGTTGCGTCGTCAATACTTGATGAAATCGTGCGATTTAAATTGCCTATTGTAGACGACTCCAATCGTCAATACTTGATGAAATCGTGCGATTTAAATTGCCTATTGGTGTGGGGGCAAACGAGATCACGGCAGCAGCGTGCTGCTTCCAGCGATGATGGTCGCGCAGGTAGGCCTGCATGTGGGCTTTGATGCGCCTGCATCCACGTGAGAGGGGAGTGGTACAAGGCGAAGGGCGAGGGGAATGACGGCAGCAGCGCACAGGTAGGCCTGCATGTGCGCCTTGATGCGCCTGCATGCACGCGTGCAGAGGGGAAGGAAAGTTGAGGTCGAGGGGAGAGGAGAAATGCCTTATGCGACTGCCTGCAGGCGCGCAGCGGATGCAGGGTTGGAAAAGGGGAGTGGGCAATGTTGACAACAAGAGAGAAACGAGGAGAATGCTCAATGTGCCAACAGTGGTCACGCAGGTAGGATTGAAAATAGGCCTTGATGCACCTGCATGCGGGCGCGGAGAGGGAAAGGAAGGTTTAGATGAAGGGAACGGGGACGGTGAATGAGAGGGGAGAGGAGAAATGCGCTCTCCTTCCAGTGAAGGTGGTGGGACGGGTGGCCCTGATGGGACTGCAGGAGTGCATGGGAGAGACAGTAGGTTGAGGAAAAGAGAGAGGGGAGGGTGGGAGAGGGTCGCACTGCTGTAGCGCTGGACTGCAGGTGCACGTTTGAAAGAGGATGCGGCGGGGAGATGCACCGGGGGTGTGAGAGCCAAGGAAGGTTTCCAAAGAGAGTTGGCTGATCAGGAGGGATAGGCGTCGCGTGGCAGTAGAAGCGTGACAGCGGGTGCAATGAGGACAGTCTTGGAAGACAAGGAAGAGGGCATGCTGTGTGGTAATCCACGCGACTCACGGCATGCTGTGATCCACACGACTCACGGCATGCTGTGTGGTAACCAGCCGACGCGGAGGTAGGAGTCAGCGACGCCACACACGTCCCTCTCAGTCAGCAGCACCACCCCACTCCACTCTCCCACCTCCCACCCCTCCACCCACTCGTGTGTCTTCACCACCACGCTCACTCCTCCCCACTCCCCTCCATCCCTCCCCACCCCTTGACCATCCCCTCTTCCCCCTAAATCCTCCGCGGACCCCCGTCCTTCTCCCCCTATCCCCACTCCCCCTCTCCCCTCCCCCCCAGGTTCGGGCCTGCCCAATGGCGAAAGCCCCCCATCCACTCCCCCCGCACCCCCAGGTCCGCGGCTGCCCAGTGGCGAGAGCCCCCTGGCGCGCAGCTTGCTGGCGGAGATGGAGTGCAGCCAATAGGAGAGCGACAGCTGGCCCGAGTGGGCGAGCAGCAGGCGGACGGCGTTGAAGAGCCACGTGGAGCCTGCAGGGAGGCGGGGAGGGAGACGATGTGAGGGGGGTTGGGGAGAGGGAAGGGAGGGCATGTGAGGCTGGGTGCAGGCGGGGAAGCCCGTGGGACGTGCAGTGAAGGAGGGACGTGCAGTGAAGGAGGGACGTGCAGTGAAGGAGGGACGTGCAGTGAAGGAGGGACGTGGAGCCTGCAGTCGGCCAGCGAGGCGACGGAGGGATTTTGGAAGGGAGGAAATGGGAAGGGGGTTGGGGAGAAGGGGGAAGTGGGAGGAGGGGCTGGGCGGAAGAGGGGGGTGGGGGGGAAGTGAAGCTTGGGGAGACGGGGAAGGCATGTGCAGTGAGGACGAGGAACGGCCAGGGAGCAGCAGGCGGACGGCGTTGAAGAGCCACGTGGAGCCTGCAGAGGAGGGGGGATGAGAAAGGGGATGTGAAGAGAAGTTGGCGCGGGAATACTGGGAGTGAAGCCTTCCGTGACAACAGGTGACTAGGCCGGGAGATCTGACGTGAGGGCGGATGGACGGTGCGTGGGGGGAAGAGTGGGGGGGGAGTGAGGTTGTGATGTGTGGAGTGGATGGCAGTCGCGGGAAGAGCGGAGCATGCGGGTGCGAGGCAAATGAAAGGACGTGGAAGGAAGTATGCGGTACGAGTTAGGGCTTGGAAGCTCGGAAAGAGAACAGCTTCGATCAGGCTGTCAGCACCGCGGCGCGATTAACAATGCATGATTCAGTGGGTGTAAGGTGCCGCACCCGACCTCTCTGGTCCCGCGCACACGATCAGCCGAGGCCTTCCCCACGTACTGACGCCACTGTTCTGCTCCCGACGCGCCACGTGTCGGCTCGACAGCACATCTCGCCACGTGGGGTCCACGTGGAGCAGCTCGCACTCGCCGTCGCCGCAACCACTACCGGCCGGACAGAGTGTGCGACGCGCCCACGATGGCAAGAGTTCAATCAGGGTTTCGTCATCTAACGAGGAGTCTATACTCGCGGATGAATGGGTTCTTCGCGGCTCGGCCGCCATGGCGACTACGGCGGGGTGCTATGAGGTCACGGGTGCCGCCACGAGCAGCCTGGCCGCGAGCGGGCGTCAGGAGCGGCCTAAATGGTCGGAGAAGAGATTTCCGCGGCAGCGCGGCGAGAGATGAGAAATGGACGCGAAGCGACGCTGCCAAGGCAGGCATGGCTGACAGTCGTGAATAGCCGAATTCGGCCTGATGCTGAGCAATATAGGGCAGTTTGTTCGCTTCACCGCATTCAACCGTTACTTACCGGCCTGAACTTTGATAGATCAGCCATCCAAGGATGTCACACCCGCATTTGTATCGATGTTAGGGCGCGTCTCCTCCCTCGATCGATTCCGAGATTGACGAGAAAAAACCGATCGGGCACACCGATCGCAGGATTGGGGCGGGTTTGGTAGGAGGTGACGGTTGCAGATCGATCTCGCGCCCAGGGTGTCAGGATCGAGAATTGAAGGGGGAAAAACTCTCGATCCTACAAAAGCCGGGATCGGTGTGGCCACAAAGGCATATCGACCGTCATCAGCGGAGGTGACAAGATCGTTGGGCCCCAATTGCTGTACTCTTGTTAGCCTTCTCGAAATGTGGTTACCCTGTCAATTGCGACATTGTAGCTGTCCCTCAGATCGATCGATGGCAGGATCGATCGAGTGAGGAGACGCGCCCTTACCCCCCAAAACCTATTCCACGGCCCCCGTTTCCTGATTCCACGGCCATTCCGACGCTGCTCGCGAACAAGACCATTTTCGATTACTTCAAACACGTCATTCGTTAGAAAATACATCACCCGACGCGCCACTCACGGCATGTTCCGTAGAGAAGCACGTCGCAACTCAGCAAGCGGCGCGAATAACTACCTTTTTATTCTCAGACGTACAGTGATTATGCGCATGCACCAACGCTTCGCCCGCCCTCTCCCCGTCGCCTCTCTGGTACTCATGCCTTCGTGCACAACTGTCTCACACTCGTTTGTCCTTAAAACATCCTTGACCGCTCGCTTTCTTTAGCAAATCGCCACCTCTCACTCCCGTCTCGCCACCCATTGCGGCCTCACGCCATCTCGCAAGCGTTCGACGTCCCTTTTGCACGAGCGACAAAGGCGCGTCTCATCGGGTGGGTGTGTCGCGTGCCCGCCGCTCATCACCACGAACGCGCCTCTCGCACACACCCACCCTACCCTATCACTCTCGCCTCTCCCGCGCGCTCACATTCGCCCCGCACGCTCTCACACGCTCGCGAACGCAATAGCGGCGCCGGCCGCACGAGTTGCCATGGTGACTTTCCATTCCTTCCCCTTTCCCTCCCTTTCCCTCCCATTCCTTCCCCTTTCCCTCCCTTTCCCTCCCATTCCTTCCCCTTTCCCTCCCTTTCCCTCCCATTCCTTCCCCTTCCCTCCCATTTCCTCCCATTCCTTGCCCTTCCCTCCGCTCCCCTCCCCTCCCCTCCCCTTCCCTCCCCTTCCCTCCCCTTCCCTCCCCTTCCCTCCCCTCCCCTCCCCTCCCCTCCCCCCTCCCCTCCCCTCCCCTTCCCTCCCCTCCCCTCCCTTTCTCTCGCCTCCTCTCCCCTCCCCGCCCCTCCCCTCCCCTCCCCTCCCCTCCCCTCCCCTCCCCTCCCCTCCCCTCCCCTCCCCTCCCCTCCCCTCCCCTCCCCTCCCCTCCCCTCCCTCCCCTTCCCTCCCCTCCCCTTCCCTCCCCTTCCCTCGCCTCCCCTCCCCTCCCCGCCCCTCCCCTCCCCTCCCCTCCCCTCCCCTCCCCTCCCCTCCCTCCCCTCCCCTCCCCTCCCCTCCCCTCCCCTCCCCTCCCCTCCCCTCCCCTCCCCTCCCCTCCCCTCCCGCCCATTCTGTGCACATCTCTCCCCCACCCCCAGTGTCGTGTCCTTATAGCCAGTGCGAGTACGGGAGAGGCGCCTGCATAGAGAGGCGCCTGCATAGAGAGGCGCCTGCATAGAGAGGCGCCTGCATAGCGGCGCACGAATAGAATCGAGGCTCCTCTTACAGGGTGAGTCAGTCCACTCTATGCCCCTCCATCCATGCCCTTCCTCTCTTCCCTTCATGCCCTTCCCTTCCCCCCCTTTCCTTCTCTTCCCGCCTTCCTGCCCTTCTCTTCCCGCTGCCCCCTTCTCATCTTGCCCTTCCCTTCCCTTCCCCGATCATCATTGGTCAAGAAGGGCAATCGCGGAATCCAACCCTCAAGTATCCCAAATCTGCATTGTACGCACGCCCGTATTCACCCCTTACTGTTGTCCGATGCAAGTTTGCTGCAGGTGCGATGAAGCGAGGGGAGGCGCGGCGGGTGGACATGGCGTACAACGTGGAGGAGGAGGAGGAGGAGGTGGCGGCGGAGGACGCCATGCGCGAGCAGGAGGCGTGGGAGCGCTCCTACGCCAACGACCGCTCCTGGGAGTCCGTGCAGGTCACTGCTGCTTGTGGGAGTCACTGACCTTGCACTCACTGACCTTGCACTCACTGCCCTTGCACTCACTGCCCTTGCACTCACTGCCCTTGCACTCACTGCCCTTGCAGCCACTGCCTTAGCACTCACTGCTTTTGCACTCACTGCTTTTGCACTCACTGCCCTCTCCCCCCCTTTCCCCCTTTCCCCTCCCCCATTCTGTGCTTCGGCGTGGGCAGGAGGACGAGAGTGGGCGGCTGCGCCCGGTGGACGTGGTGGGGCAGCAGCGCAGCGAGAGGGAGAGGCGGCGGCGGCAGCAGGCAGGGCAGGCAGGGCGGGTGGGGGCGCAGCGGGTGAGGCGCGGCATCATCCGCTACCTCGTGCTCGCTCTCGACTTCTCCCGGGTGGGTGGGTCGTGATGGTGGGTCGTGATGGTGGGTCGTGATGGTGGGTCGTGATGAGCAGCCTTGTTCCGTGGCACTGCACTGGAGTGGAGCCATGGCATGCCGCCCATGGGATGGGTGGCCTTGCTTTCGTGTTGTCATATGTCATGGCTTCTCACTGTCTTCGTTCTTCACACCCAAGTGCCGCCCCGCACCATTGCGCTCTGGCATGGATGGAATGAGGTGCGCGAGTCTCGTGCGAATGGGCTTCCCCCAGCGCGCCCCCGAGGGAGCAGCGGCGCTGTGCGCCTGCCACATGCACCTCCGCCTCGCCGCCACCTATGTGTGCCCCAGGTGCCGGTATGTGTGCCCCAGGTGCCGGTATGTGTGCCCCAGGTGCCGGTATGTGTGCCCCAGGTGCCGGTATGTGTGCCCCAGGTGCCGGTATGTGTGCCCCAGGTGCCGGTATGTGTGCCCCAGGTGCCGGTATGTGTGCCCCGAGTGCCGGTATGCGTGCCCCAGGTGCCTCTGTCTCTTCCCCCTTCCCCCCACCCCACATTTCCCCTGCCGTTGTTCATCCCACCCTTTTGCAGCTGCAAGCGAAGGCCCAATTTTGCCCACCTCATGCCACTTGCCTTCCTTCCCCCTCCCTCCCCTCTCCTCCTCCCTCCTCCCCTTCCCTCCCTCAAACCACTCCCGCCACCCCCCAGCTCGCGGGTGTGTGCGCTGCCAGCGGAGTGCCCTGTGTGTGCGCTCACACTCGTGTCCTCGCCACACCTCGCCCGCTCCTACCACCACCTCTTCCCCGTGCCGCCCTTCTCCGAGGTCCCTCTGCCGCCTGCTCCTAATCGACCTGCTGGGTCGTCAGCCCCTGCCGCCCCGCACAGCGACCTGCCACCCGCCTGCTTCAGCTGCACTGCCGCGCTGCCTTTCATCGGTGAGCACTGCCTTTCCTCGCTGAGCATGCGCTGGTAACGCGCTGGTAGGCCAGGCACTGCTGCGCGGTGGAATACGGTCCGTGGTTGCGGGTCAGTCTCTGCCTTTCCAAGCCCCACAGCATCCCTGCATTCCGGCTGGCGTTCACCTTGTGTCTGCCCGACGTTGCTGCCATTTCCTCTTCTGACTGATGTTCCCCTCCACCTGCCGTTCCTCTTCTTGCTGCTGGCTGCCTGCTGGCTGCATGCTGTGCCGATGTGGGCAGAGACGGAGGGAGGGGGAGTGCGGGTGGAGTGCCCCACATGTGCGCGGCACTTCTGCTTCGACTGCGACGTCTTCATCCACGAGAGCCTGCACAACTGCCCCGGCTGTGAGGCCACCCGCCTGCCACAACTGCCGTAGCCAACCACGGGGGCAAGGGGGGGAGAGGGGGGATAAGGTTTCGGCTGTGTATCGACACAATGGCACCAAGCTGTATCGACACAATAGCACTACTCATCGTCGTGTTCCATCATGCTGCACTGCTCTCCTCTCCACACTTCCCTCCCAATAGCCTCAATCTCAGCCCCCTGCCTCCACCGTTCCCCCATCCCGCATGCACGGGCACTGCTGGGGTATGATGCCTACATCATGCTTGCCAAAATACTATTACAACAGCAGTGGGTTGGGCACTACCCATACCGACCTTCTCATTGCGTTTGAGTTGGAACCTTCGCATTGACGCGCCAAAGTCAGGTAATAGCTGGCTCTTTTCCTGCTACTGGTACATCGTACCATACCACTGCATATTGCAGAATGGTGGAACACAAGGCGGTACGGTTCAATTGCTAGTTAAGACCAAATCATGCGGTAAGTACAGCTCACTGAAAAACATTGACTAATCGCTTTACTATAGTAACGTATGTTACAAAGCCTTCCACCGAAGGGTGTGTGACGCTGGCTGGTTTCCTCATTGGTTCTGTGGAAAAGGCAGCAGTGCCAGAGGGCTTGATGCTAAGCATGGTGGGCTCGAGAATGGAGTGCTGCTACGCCCGCCTCACGCATCATCCCCTTGGCTGATGCACCTCAAAGCGCTGAACTCGGAAGGAAAGAGGGGAGGAACAGGATCGAAAGACACAAAAGGCATTGCATGTGATTTGTGGTGGTGACCCACACATTCCTGCAGGGTGAGAAGGAAGTGGGTGACAAAGACGAGGGATCACAGCAAGAGGCTCGGCACAGGGTGAGATGGAGCAGGGAAGGAACAGTGTGCGAAGGACGAAGGCTGTGGTTTATGAGGGACAGACACAGCATGCTCACACAGGAGGGTGGGGTGGGAAGCTGCAGCCAACAGAGCAGGGAGGAGCGAGGTGCTAGGGAAACAAGCTTAGCTGGTCGGATCAGAGCGCATGAAAGGCATCGCTCACTGAAGCGGAGGCCCCTCTGGGAAAGCCAAAGGGAACCGAGAGGCGAGTGGTGGTTAGGGAGGAACAGAAGCTGCTGCCCATCCAAGACTTGAGCCCACCGGTCACGGCACACACACCTCGAAAGACGTATCAAGGAGGCGAGGAAAGAAACACGGCATCCACACTCTAGGAGGCTCGAGTCTCGGGCACTCATGTTTGGGTTTTACTCCCTCACACTGTCACTCGTACTCACTGATGAAGCGCCACTCACCACGGCACTGCATTGCAGTGACGTCAAAGACTTGAGAGACAGGGCACACACACTCCTTCTTGCCGTCCACCAAGGCGCACATGGCTGTCCCACAGCGCTCGCAGCCTTCAGCACAAGTACAGAGCGTTTGTGGTGGCAGGAGGCGGGACAAACATGGGGAGGAGAGAGAAGAATGATACAATGAGGTGTGTGTTTCGCTCGCAGGAAGCATGGCCTCACAGTAACCAAGCAGTCAGTCATTTGAAACAGGGCGATAGTGTGCGTGCAATTGAGCAGCCAATAGACCTTTGCAAGAGCACAGCAACGGATTGGTGTCTCACACCACCACAAACCACACCAAACCACACCGCACCGCACCATGCGACAACCTTGCGGGGCCAGCCGTGCAAGTGAGTGTGGGGCCAGTGGTGCAATCTTACCCGTCCAGCATTTCATCGACGCTGGCAAGTCCTTGCCTGTCACGAGGGTCCTGCGAGCAGCAGCAGCGAGGGGGGCACGGGAGCAGAAGCCGATCAGAAGGCCAGCAGCAGCGAGGGGGGCACGGGAGCAGAAGACGATCAGAAGGCCAGCAGCAGCGAGGGGGGCACGGGAGCAGAAGACGATCAGAAGGCCAGCAGCAGCGAGGGGGGCACGGGAGCAGAAGACGATCAGAAGGCCAGCAGCAGCGAGGGGGGCACGGGAGCAGAAGACGATCAGAAGGCCAGCAGCAGCGAGGGGGGCACGGGAGCAGAAGACGATCAGAAGGCCAGCAGCAGCGAGGGGGGCACGGGAGCAGAAGACGATCAGAAGGCCAGCAGCAGCGAGGGGGGCACGGGAGCAGAAGACGATCAGAAGGCCAGCAGCAGCGAGGGGGGCACGGGAGCAGAAGACGATCAGAAGGCCAGCAGCAGCGAGGGGGGCACGGGAGCAGAAGACGATCAGAAGGCCAGCAGCAGCGAGGGGGGCACGGGAGCAGAAGACGATCAGAAGGCCAGCAGCAGCGAGGGGGGCACGGGAGCAGAAGACGATCAGAAGGCCAGCAGCAGCGAGGGGGGCACGGGAGCAGAAGACGATCAGAAGGCCAGCAGCAGCGAGGGGGGCACGGGAGCAGAAGACGATCAGAAGGCCAGCAGCAGCGAGGGGGGCACGGGAGCAGAAGACGATCAGAAGGCCAGCAGCAGCGAGGGGGGCACGGGAGCAGAAGACGATCAGAAGGCCAGCAGCAGCGAGGGGGGCACGGGAGCAGAAGACGATCAGAAGGCCAGCAGCAGCGAGGGGGGCACGGGAGCAGAAGACGATCAGAAGGCCAGCAGCAGCGAGGGGGGCACGGGAGCAGAAGACGATCAGAAGGCCAGCAGCAGCGAGGGGGGCACGGGAGCAGAAGACGATCAGAAGGCCAGCAGCAGCGAGGGGGGCACGGGAGCAGAAGACGATCAGAAGGCCAGCAGCAGCGAGGGGGGCACGGGAGCAGAAGACGATCAGAAGGCCAGCAGCAGCGAGGGGGGCACGGGAGCAGAAGACGATCAGAAGGCCAGCAGCAGCGAGGGGGGCACGGGAGCAGAAGACGATCAGAAGGCCAGCAGCAGCGAGGGGGGCACGGGAGCAGAAGACGATCAGAAGGCCAGCAGCAGCGAGGGGGGCACGGGAGCAGAAGACGATCAGAAGGCCAGCAGCAGCGAGGGGGGCACGGGAGCAGAAGACGATCAGAAGGCCAGCAGCAGCGAGGGGGGCACGGGGGGCAGAGAAGGGATCAGACGTGAGACACGTGGAAGAAGGAGAGGTCCACAGATCCGAATCAACTTTGCAAACGCCCTCGAAGAAAAGTTTCACCGTTGTGCGGCACATGGCACATGCGCGCTCACCAGTTGGTGAAGGACTTCGAGGTGATGGGCTGAGGACGCTGGTACGACACGTAAGAATCCCCCTTGCAGTCCGTGACGGGGTGGAAGGCGATGCTGCTGCACTTGAGGTTCAGCTGGTTGACGTTCGCCATGTTGCCCCACTGGATGCTCGCGCTGATTGGGGTCAACGTGTCGTACCGCCACGCGACATTTGTGCACGGACTGTTGTAGAAAAAAAAGCGAGCGGAGTCAGTCAATGCCTTCCCCTGGAATTTTATAATCGTGTCGTACTGCGTCGAGGCGCTAGTTTCCGCGACGAGCGCGAGAGACACGAGGCCAGCGAGGACCGCGGCGAGGCCAGCTTGAAGGGCGGAACGCGGGCCGCCGCGCGCCATGGCGACGAGAGACGGGGTGGTTGGCGAGAGGAAGGTGAGGCTGCGCTGTCGGAAAGTGAAGGGATAAGTGAGGGAAAAGCGAGGAGGGAAGCTCGTGTGGAATGGCGAGACATGGTGAACGCTGGGTAGAGGGGATTTATGTAGTGGGAATGCGGCTGGCGCGGCGACGATGCTAACCAAGGAGGGACGAGAATGGGAGGGCACGACCCCACGGCGGATTTATTAACGGACAATGATGATTGGACGAAGCCGCTTCTTGCGGGTACTACCCAATGCTACTGGGCTATTGGGCGACTACTATGCGGTGGACTAGGAAGGAGGGAGAAGCATAATGCGGAAAATAATTCGAAAAGCCCTGACTTCAAGAGAGGTTTTGCACGGTATATTAGCGTTGTACTCTGTTGCAGTCCGTTATAGTAGGTTTCGGAGGCGGTGGCGTTGGTCATCGCACCCTTGACAGCAGGAACTGGGTGGGGGGAACGCTTGACCGTGATCGCGCTACTGGGTGGTTGGCGAGTTAACATATCTGTAACAGTGTAAGGAATTTTCTCGGCATTCCTTACGGAGCCCGACTACATCGCGTACAGCAACAGCCGTTGTTCGCCCGTTACTGCTAACGGGGCTTCGCCGACTTCGCGCGCACTGTTTCACCAAACCTCGCACTGCTGGCCTGGCCGTGTCGGCCTACGCTTCGGGACTAGCCCAAGCCTCGCTCCAGCGTAGCACTAGCTAGCTCGCACGCACCGCGTTACCGTTTGCATGTTTCGTGTATAAATGTTCGCTCATGCCTTCGCTCACATTTTGTACTCGTTTGACACCTTAGTGCAATTCTCGCTACTTCGATTCATTGCACCCGTAACACTTGGTATTCAGAGCCCCTTTCTTTCGGACCGCGCATCTCCGCACCCCAGGAAATCAACTTTTGATTTTTCACTCGAAGGGACTCACGTACCTTAGCACCTAGGAGCCGCTGTCCTCGCGTTCTCTCGTAAACGCGTGCAGCCACGACTGCGCCTAGACTAAGACGAGCCGACGCCCTTCGAAATGGCTGAACACATCGACGTCACGACTCTCACGCAGGAGCACTTGAACGATCTGCTGCGACAAATCCGCGAGAGCGCCGAGGAAATCGCGACGCTGACGGCAGAACGCTCGTCCCTGCAAAACGACCTCACACGAGCACAATCCCAAGCACCTGGCACTCCGATTCAGCCCGCACCACAAACATCACAGCACGGAAGTGTGGGGCAACCCGCGAGCGCCGCAAGTGATGGCGTCGTCCGCCATGACGGAGACGACGACCACGGCACGACACACCCCGACGCGACGAATGCGGCCAGGACTCAGCCTCAAGTCACGATTTCAGTGCGGGGCGGCGGATCAACTCTTCCGTCGCCGATGCCGCTAAAGCCGTAGCGTCCGCCATGCTTTGACCCAAGTCAGCGGGGTGGTCCTACCGTTCATGCGTGGCTCTTCACGTTGAACGTTTTCTTCGACGCGAACTACGTCTCGGAGGATACGGCGAAGATTCGTTACGCCGTGTCGTTGCTGCGAGGACCCGCCATGGACTGGTGGCGCGTCATCGTCACGAAGCCGGCGGACTACGCAACTCTACCGACAAGGGAAGGACAAACCGGACCCTGGGCGTCGTCGTATTTCGTGGAGGTGCCCCAGTATCGCACGTGGGACGCGTGGTGCGCAGGTCTGCGCGCTCGTTTCGAGCCAATCGCGGCTTCGATCGCGGCGCGACAGAAGCTCCGCACTTGGCGCCAACTCGGTTCCGTCCAAGATTACACGAGCGGATTTCTGGCGCTATGCGAGCAGGTGGGATATATGCACGAGAGCGAGCGCATCGACCGCTACATCGGCGGCCTGAAGCAGGACATCGCTCAGGAAATCCAGCTTCGCGACGTCACCGACTTTCAAGAAATTCTCGCTATGGCGGAGAAACTTGATTTCTTCCGCCGACCGAGACCGGGGTCCTACGGAAGCATCCATTGGGGACATCGGCCTCGTGGGACGAACGAGGGCACCACGATACGTGCCGTCGCCGCAAATGCCGCTGCCGCAGCGTTCAAAGGGCGCTGCTTTGCGTGCAATCGGCCGGGACATCGCAAGAGCGAATGCCCGGAAAACGCTAAGGGAAAGGGGGAAGCTGAGCAGCAGAAACAGACCAAGCAGCAGGGAAACGCTGGGAGTCAGTAGCAGACGGGCCCTCTACTGACAGGTCACGCCGCTCGCCCGACCCAACCGACCCTCACCGAGTGATTGTGCCGGTTCACGCAATCGACCACACCCGGCCGAATAAGGAGGACACTACGGTAGACAGCCCCATATTGCTTAGTGGGAAAATCGGGACGGACTTAGTTAAAATCTTCGTAGACGGGGGAGCCAGCCACAGCCTCATCAACACTGCCACAGCACGAAAACTGCGACTGCCACTGGACAGATGCTTACCCGAGATCGACGCAAGACTGGTAGACGGCACGCCGCTGGCGATACGGGAACGCGTAGACCGGGTTTGGAATCGATGTGGGGGTAACTTCACGTTTAGCCAGGAAATGCTCGCAACGGCCCTCGACGGAACCGATATTTTACTCGGGCGTGATTGGTTGCGACGACACAATCCGCGAATCGACTGGACGACGGGTGACTGCACCGTGCGAGTGAACGGTAACAACATCGCCTTACCTCGCTGGGGCTCACCTGAGTCTTCGTCAGTACGTGTCAACGCGATCACGATGAAACGCGCCGTAGCGGCAGGAGCTGACGTGTACGTGGTCAACATTCGGGAAGCCGAGGCAGCAGACAAAGGAGGGGATTTACAGAAACTGCTGGTCGACGTACCGAGTGACCTGGCAGCACTGTTGAAGCAGGGTAGCGACATTTTCCCGGACGATTTACCGACGGGACTGCCACCTCAGCGACCGCATGACCAGAGGATAGAGTTAGAACCGGGGGCACAGCCAACAGTACAGCGACAGTTCCGACTGACCCAGCCCGAACTGGACGAACTGAGGAAGCAGCTCGATTACCTGCTCGAGAAGGAATTCATTCGCCCTAGTTCGTCGCCCTTCGCAGCACCGATACTGTTCACACCGAAAAAAGACGGGGGATTTCGCATGTGTATAGATTACAGAGCACTGAACAGGGTTACCATCAAATCGCGTTACCCCATCCCGCGAGCCGACGAACTGATCGACCAACTGCGCACAGCCCGGGTTTTCTCGAAAATCGACCTCCGAGGGGGTTACCACCAGATTCGCGTCAACCCGCCCGACTGCCCTAAGACCGCATTTCGCACACGCTACGGATCCTTCGAATACACCGTCATGCCCTTCGGACTGACCAACGCCCCCGCCACTTTTCAAATGACCATGAACGAAGCTTTCCGCCCGCTCTTAGATAAGTGCGTCATAGTATACCTGGACGACATGCTGATTTACAGCCCTGACAGAGCACAGCACTTACAGGACATCGAAGCAGTTTTTAAAATACTGAGTGAAAACCGCCTACTGACAAAAGCATCTAAGTGTGAGTTTTTACAGGACCGCCTGGAGTTTTTGGGACACGTTATTTCAGCTGCAGGAGTGGAAATAGACCAGAAGAAAATTGCGACGATTCAAGCATGGCACGCACCGACCAACTTGACCGAGTTGCAGAGTTTTTTGGGGTTCGTCAACTACGTGCGCCGGTTCGTCCCCGACATGGCGAAGCTAACTGCCCCGTTGACCGACCTCCTGAGGAAGGGGGTTGAGTACACGTGGGGGGAGAAAGAGCAAGCTGCCTTCTCGGCCCTCAAAAACATTTTGTGCTCACCGCCCGTGCTTCAGATCGCAGATCCACACCGTCCGTTCGAGCTCGTTACTGACGCAAGTGACATCGCTGTGGGGGCAGTACTATTGCAGGATTTCGGGAACGGCCTCCAGCCAATCGCGTACGAGTCCCGCAAGCTGCACCCGCCCGAACGCAACTACCCGATACACGACCGCGAAATGTTGGCGATCGTGCACGCGTTCAAGGTTTGGCGGTGTTATCAGACAGGCGCCGACGTGACAGTACGGACAGACCACCGATCACTACAGTACTTACGCGCCCAACCGAACCTCAATCCACGACAGATTCGCTGGTTGGACTACTTCGAGTCCAACTTCCACTACACGGTTACGTACAAGAAAGGCGCATCCAACATCGCCGACGCACTCACCCGCCCTACCGCCCAACTCCACGCTATCCTACTCGCCCAGACCAACCCGCTTTTAACAGGCCTATTCAACCACGGATACCGCACCGACCCATTTTTCACGACTGGAAACTCACAGCAGCTGGCAGAAGCTAAAGGAGTTTATTACGTAAAAACAGGCACCAGCCGCATCTGGGTACCAGCGTACTCACTACTGAGGGAGCTGCTACTGCAGGAGGCACACGACGGAATTACCTCGGGACATTTTGGGGTAGAAAAAACGCGACAGCAACTGCAGCGGTATTACTACTGGCCGGAGCTGTTGACCGACGTGCAGCAGCACGTGGGCTCGTGCCCCACGTGTCAGGTGATGAAAAGCTCGAGGAAGCGGAAGGCGGGTCAATTGCAGCCGATACCACCGCCCGAGCGCGCCTGGTAGCAGGTTACCATGGACTTCGTCACAGGGTTACCTTCGAACCCTGGGGGTAACGACGCAGTGATGGTCGTCGTTGACAGGTTGACGAAGATGGCACACTTCGCTGCGTGCAAGAAGTCAATCTCAGCCGAGGAGACCGCTCGTCTGTTCATCGCAGCCGTTGTTCGCCTGCACGGGATACCAGCAGCGATTATCAGCGACAGGGACACGAAGTTCACCAGCAACTTCTGGAAGAACCTCTGGGAGCAGTTCGGAACCAGGCTGCAGTTCAGTTCGTCGTACCACCCCGAGACCGACGGTCAAACGGAGCGGACAAATCAGACGATGGAGCAGTTGATTCGTGCCACGTGCGACGACCCCACGACTTGGGAGCAGCAGCTGCCGCTGATCGAGTTCGCGTACAACAACGCCACGTCAGCGACGACGCAGCAGTCCCCCTTCTACCTGAACTACGGGCAAAATCCTACAGTGCCCATGACGCCGAGTCCGGACAACCCAACACCACGCGCATAGCAATTCGCCGAAATTCGCAAGCTGCCCGCACCAGAGCCGCAGAAGCAATTAAAAAAGCAAACGTCATTGCTAAGCGCAACGCTGACCGCCACCGCCGCCCAGTCACATACCAGTCAGGGGATTACGTACTGCTCGACACGCAAAATCTGCGACTGCCCGACGTACCAAAACTTCGACCGCGCTACTGTGGCCCATTCCAAATCAGCCACATGATCACGCCAGTAACCGTGCACCTACTGTTACCGACCGACTGGTACATCAGCCCTTCGTTCCATGTTAGCTTGCTTCGCCCTTACATCCCAACCACAAGCCAACTGCCTCGCCACCGCCCGCCATCCATGACTCGCCCTGCATCGGAGCCGATCATCGAGCCCGAAAAAATCCTGAGCCATCGGATTCGACACCCCACGGGAATCAAGAGGATTGAATTCCTCGTTCGCTGGAAGGATCGCACGCCAACTGAGGACAGCTGGGTGCCCCTGGCCAACATCGAAAACCACCCTGCCCTGCACGTGTACCTAAGGAGCCGGGGATTCCGCGATATACACGCACTCGCGTAGCGGAGGGGGCTTCTTGAGGGGGGGGGTAGTGTAAGGAATTTTCTCGGCATTCCTTACGGAGCCCGACTACATCGCGTACAGCAACAGCCGTTGTTCGCCCGTTACTGCTAACGGGGCTTCGCCGACTTCGCGCGCACTGTTTCACCAAACCTCGCACTGCTGGCCTGGCCGTGTCGGCCTACGCTTCGGGACTAGCCCGAGCCTCGCTCCAGCGGAGCACTAGCTAGCTCGCACGCACCGCGTTACCGTTTGCATGTTTCGTGTATAAATGTTCGCTCATGCCTTCGCTCACATTTTGTACTCGTTTGACACCTTAGTGCAATTCTCGCTACTTCGATTCATTGCACCCGTAACAAACAGAAACAAGTGTATCCAAATCCAATACACTGGGCATCTAAGGATTGTGATGTATGCATGAAGAGACCATTTACTGGTATAAGGAAGATGGGGGAAAAAAACTCGCAATCTAAGAAGCTTTTGTTAGAAACATTTCCTTTTTATAAAACAGATCTCTTCCTACTTGCCTGCCACAATCCTAATGCTCGTCCTCATCCCCCCTAGTAACGGGCCATACGGCATTTGTACAAGCAACAACATGCGTATACAGTGCAAGAGAAGCTGAAGTGTTATCTCCATACTCGAGAGTCTGATGTGTCACAGAGCAGCCCATTACATAGAGAACGAGGAAATACGACTTGACTTCTGGAGCTTGGCCTTGCAAGCATATTTACGGTCACTGTCATACCACACCGTGCCACCACATGTTGTAGGAAGCATACTCCTGTGTAATGCTGCGTGAGCAAAAGGACCGGCTCTGTTCTGTTGCCTTGTCAGCAGAATTCTATTATGGTCGTGTAAGGTCATGAAAGAACTCCATCTCTCTCTCTCCCACCACATCTCCACTGAAATTTTCATGAATGTCTCTCACTCTCTCACTCTCACTCACTCTCTCTGTCACTCTCTCGCTCCAGCAGGTCGTCCAGCCGCTTCCTCACATCCTCGCCCATTTCTCGCCGCCTCTCTGCCAGCCGCTGCTGCTTCTGCTCGTCCCTCTTGCTCACCCGTGACGACCGCCGCGGGTCCGACGTAGCAGCAGTGGGGTGAGGGCGATGCGCGGGGTGAGAAGAGAGAGGAGGGTGCAAGGGGTGAGGGGGGTGAGAGGGGTGATCACTGGGTACATGTGACTGTACAGGGTGTGACACGCGCACAGGCGCAGGTGATTGAAGGGAGAGCGACTGCATGCCAAAGGATACAAGCGAAGGGGACTGAAATTCACGAGGTGACAAGAGCAGCTGCGACCCTCCCTGTGAGCGCACTCGCTTTCCCTTTCCCTGCATCTCCCTCAGCTCCCTCTCCCTCAACTGCTGCTGCTGTAACTGTTGCACCTTTCTCCGCCTGGCAATACCTCCCGCTGCCATGCCTTTGCCCTGCTTCTCACGTCTCCACCTCTCCTTTGGACTTGTCACATGCCTCCCTCCCTCCCTGCCGCTCCTACCCTCTGCCTCCCTCCCTTCCACCACCCTACACCTCCTGTCGTCCCCCACTCTCCGTTCATCCCTCAAAGATTCGGAGTCAGAGCTGCTGCTGCTGCCGTGCTCTCCTCTGCTCTCTTGGCTCGCCACTGCCTCCTCACTCTCCTCACGCTCCCCACGCCCCGCGCGCCCATCACTGTCGTCACTACTACTGCTGAGGGTAATCGCATGTGTGCTTGCCACCTCCACCACATCTCCACTTGTCTTCGCCTCCCCTTCTCCCCGCCCCTCCTCTCCTCCCCGTCCTTCCTCCCCTCCCTGCGCCTTCTCCCCTTGGCACTCGGCCTGCCTTGCCCCATGTGCCCCTGCCTGCATGCGCTGCACGGATGCCTGTTCAGCATGGTGGCATTTCCGCTGCTCCATCGCCCTCACCTCCCTGTGCTTCGCCTGCCCATTGTAAGCCCCACTCTGAACCACACACGTGCTCTCCTTGCCACCCTCCACCCACCCTCTTTTCACTCCTCTCATCCCTCTCTTCTCTCCCTTCTCTCCCTCCTTTCTTTGCCCTCCCTCCTCTCGCTCCTCTCCCTCCTCTCCCTTCTCACCCTCCTCTCGCTCTTCTCCCTCGTCTCCCTCCTCTCTCTCCTCTCCCATCTCCTCCTCGCTCTCCTCTTCCCTCCACTCATCCCGTCCCCCCAGCTCCTCATCATCCTCTGCTTCTTCCTCCTCCTCTTGGGCACTTTCCCCTCTCTCCCCTTCCTCTGACACCACTACTTTAACCTCCTCCTCTTCCTCACCCTCTCTCACTTCACCTTTCTCTTCCTCCGATTCCTCCCCCACACTCGTTCCACTCACCCCATCCACCACACCCACATCACACCCCCCCTCTCCTGCGCCCATGCAACCCACTCCCTTCCCAAGCTGCCCTGCCAAGCGAGTCGGCGCCCCCTTCTTCTCTGCTACATCCACCCCCCTCACTATGGCCCCCGCATCCGCCCTCTCCCGCTCTCCACCCTTCCATCCCTGCCCCTGCCCTGTTATTCCCTTAACCTCCTTTCCCACTTCCTCCACTTCCATCTCATCCTCACCTTCCTCATAAAAAATCTCAGCACCTGTCCCCTCCCTCGCTCCATCCTCCCTCCTCCCCTTGCAGCCCACCACATCGCAATCCTCATCTAACTCCTTCCCAGCAGTGCGCCCACCCATCCTCCCACTCATACCCACGCCAACTATTTCCACGTCTTCATCGCCCTCCTGCATTCTACCCCGCCTCCTTGCTCGTCCTCTTGCCCGCCCCACTCCCTTCGGAACCTCAATCCTTCCTCCCTTACGCCTTGCCTCTCTGCTGCCCTTCCCATCCTCCCCATCGTGCCCCTCTTTCCTCACGAATCTTGTTCCCCTAGGTTCCCCCCGTGCCCTAGGTACCCCTTCAGCTCCTTCAGGTGCTTCAGGTGCCCCAGGTGCTTCGAATGGCCCTTGGCGCCTCCCTCGATCTTCAGCCCCCTCTACCCTCTTCTGTGTGTGGGTGGGTGTGTGGGTGGGTGTGTGGGTGGGTGCGCTCGCAACCCCTTTCTGCAGTGAGGACAGCAGCCCAGTCGCAGAGTCCAAGCCACTGCGCAAGTCCAGATCGCCCCACATGTCCCTCGCACCCTGCCGGTCCCTACCACCGACCCCCTTCTGCTTCCCCCTCCGCTCCTCCCTCCCCTTCTCCTTCCCCTCCTCCTTCCCTACCACCTTCCCTTTCTCCTTCCCCGCCTTCTCCTCCTGCTCTTCTTCCTCCTCCTCCTGCTCCTTCCCCTCCTCTTTCTCCTGCTCCTCCTCATTTCCCTCCTCCTGCTCCTCCTCTTCCTCCTGCTCCTCCTCCTCCTTCCCCTCCTCCTGCTCCTCCCACTCCTCCTCCGCCTGCTCCTCAGGAGAGTCACTGATGCAAACTACAGACGCATCATCCCACTTACCGCCCTCACTGCTCCCACACACCCCTCCACCCCCTCGCCCGCCCTCACTTTCCCCAGCACCCTCTTCCCCTCCCTCTCCCCCCTCCACCCCATCGCCCTTATCAGCTGCACTATGTGCCAGCCGTGAGTCAGTGCCGCAAGCTGCACCTGCCATACCCTCCTCCTCTTCCCTCTTTTCTCCCTCCTCTTCCCTCTGTTCTCTTTCCTCTTCCCGTTGCTTCTTTCCCTCGGGTTCCTCTTCCTCCCTTCCTGCTTCATCTGCCTCTTGATTAATCTTCAACCGTTTCCCTTTTCTCCTTCTTTCTCTCGTCCCTTCTTTTGTCCCTTCTCTCGCCCCTTCTCTCGCCCCTTCTGTCGTCCCTTCTCTTGTCCCTTCTCTCGTCCCTTCTCTTGTCCCTTCTCTCGTCCCTTCTCTCCTCCCTTCTCTCCTCCCTTCTCTCATCCCTTCTCTCATCCCTTCTCTCACCCCTTCTCTCCTACCTCCCCGTCTGACGGTAGCAGCAGCTTCAGCATTGCTACTTGCTCCCTTTGCTGCGGCGGCACCTGAAGCGGTGCCCGAATCAGCATGCTGCTGATCCCTACCACCAATCCCCTTTGCCTTCGCCCCCTTCCCCTCCTCCTCCTCCTCCTCCTCCTCCTCCTCCTCCTCCTCCTCCTCCTCCTCCTCCTCCTCCTCCTCCTCCTCCTCCTCCTCCTCCTCCTCCTCCTCCTCCTCCTCCTCCAACTCCCCCCCCTCGTTCTCCTCGTCCTCGTCCTCCTCCTCCAACTCCCCCCCCTCCTTCTCCTCGTCCTCCTCCTCCTCCTCCAACTCCCCCCCCTCCTTCTCCTCGTCCTCCTCCTCCTCTTGACCCCTCCCCTCCTCTTGCTCCCCCTCTCCCTCCTCTTCCTCCTCCTCTCCCTCCTCCTCTCCCTCTCCCCCCTCCTCGTCCGCCTGCTCCTCAGGAGAGTCGCTGATGCAAACCACAGACGCATCATCCCACTTACCGCCCTCACTGCTCCCACACACCCCTCCACCCCCTTGCCCGCCCTTACTTTCCCCATCACCCTCTTCCCCTCCCTCTCCCCCATCGTCCTTATCAGCTCCACCTAGCAGCGAGTCACTGTTGCAAACTGCACCTGCTACACCCTCCTCCTCTTCCCTCTGTTCTCTTTCCTCTTCCCGTTGCTTCTTTCCCTCGGGTTCCTCTTCCTCACTTCCTGCTTCATCTGCCCCTTGATCAATCTTCAACCGTTTTCCTTCTCTAATACCTCTTGCCCCTTCTCTCGTCCCGTCTCTCATCTCTTCTCCTGCTCCGTCTCCCCTCTCTTCTTTCCTCTCTTCTCTCATCTCTTCTCTCGTCCCTTCTCCCCTTTGTTCTCTTGTCCGTTCTCTCATCCCTTCTCTTATCCGTTCTCTCGTCACTTCTTCGGCATTGCCACTTGCTCCTTTTGCTGCGGCTGCACCTGTAGCAGCACCTGTAGCAGCACCTATAGCAGCATGTCTTATTGCATCCATGGGTGCATCCGGGGCAACAAGCCTAATCACATCGACCGTTGCGTCTCTAAAGGCATGCCTAACACCAGCTGCTGCAGCTGCAGCTGTAGCAGCAACCTGCGAGCCCTCAGCAGCACTCGTGGCAGCCACACCACCGCCACATGCCTTGCCACCCCGACCATGCTTCCTTGCTACAGCAACACGACCGTTGCTAGCAGCAGCGTGCTCGCCCCCCAGCCCACCATGACGCTTGTAAGCAATAGCACCGGTGCTAGCAGCAATCACACTGCTGCCACCACACGCCTTGCTAGCAGCAGCGCCGTTACCACCTTTGCCATCGTCACTAGCAGCCGCAGCAGTAGCAGCCGCACCACCACCACCACATGCCTTCCCACCCTCACCAGGCTTCCTTGCTACAGCAGCATGTTCGCCCCCCAGCCCACCACGCCGCTTGTAAGCAGTAACACCGGTGCCACCACACGCCTTGTTAGCAGCAAAGCCATTACCACCATTGTGATCGTCAGCAGCAGCAGTGGCAGCCGAAGCAGCGGCAACAGGAGGAGGCGGAGGAGGAAGAGCAGCAGCAGCGTCATCATCATCGTCGGGTGAATCACTCATCAACACATAACGTGCCAGCTCATGCCCTTCACATGCCAGCTCATGCTCCCCACATGCCACCTCATGCCCTGCATTAACTCGAACCTTAGACAACTCCTTACATCTGCCGCTTTCTCCCTGCGCCTCGCCTGTCACTTGCTGTCCTCCCTCCTCCCCCATCTCCTCCTCTCTGCTGTGTCCCCTTGGCACCCGCTCCTGCTCGCCATCCCTCAACCCCACCTCTTCCATACGCCCCTCCTCCTTCACTTCCTCCCCCTCTCCACATACATCTCGTACGCTCCTCCCCAGTTCCTTCACTCCTCTTTCCTCTAGACTGCCCACCTCCTCCACCTCTGTGTTACTCACTTCCTTCACACACCTCATCTGTTTGCCCCCCTTCCCCTCCTCCATCTTCTCTCCCATTCGAACCCCTTCCACCTTCCTCCTTCCCTCCCCCCACTGACCGCCGCCTCTCCTCCCTGCCTCCCCCTCACTCCTCAAGTTCCCTTTCTCTTCCACCGCCGCCTCCTTTTCCGTCCTCCCCGCCTTCCTCTGACTCTTCTCCTCCATCCCCTCTTCATTCTTCTCTTCTTTCTGTTTCACCATCCTCTCCCCTCCCTTCCCTCCTTTCTCCTCCTCCCCTCCCTTTCTTCCTTTCTCCTGCTCCCCTCCCTTCCCTCCTTCCTCCTCCTCCTCTCCCTTCCCTCCTTTTGCCTCTATTCGTCCCTTTCCCCTATTCTCCTCCTCCCCTCCCTTCCCTCCTTTCTCCACCTCCCGTCCTTTCCCTCCTTCTCCCTCCTCCCCTCCCTTTCCTCCTTTTCCCTCCTCCCCTCCCTTCCCTCCTATTTCCTCCACTCCTCCCTTCCCTCCTCTCCCCTCCTCCAATGCCTCCGCCATAGCCTCCTCCATATCAACCTCATCCAGCAAGTCAGACAACCAGCTCCGAGAAACATGTCCTCTATGCCCATCCCTCTCTTCTTTCCCACCCCCATCCGCCCACCCCTTCCCGCCATTCCCCGCCAATCCCACCCGGCCCCTCTTCCCCACCACCGCTGTCACCTCCACCACATCCCCCTCCTCCCTTTCCTCCTCCTTCCCGCCCTCCTCTAACACCGTTTGCAGGAGCCTCTCTCTCTTCCCACCAACCCTGCTCTGCTTCAAAGGGCCTCCGTTGTCAGGAAGCGCAATGACCGACAGGCCTCCTTCCTGGCTCGACATGATGGCATGCAAGCTGCGACTTCGAGTCACGCGCCTATTCTGCTCCTGCTGCTGCTCCTGGCCCTTATCGTGTGTTCCCTTTTTCTGCCCCTCTGCCCGTCCTGCCACACTCCCATCCGCACCCTCCGCTCTCCCCCCTTCTCCCTCCACACTGCTAATCTCCTTCGCCAACAGCCCTACCATCCCTCCGACTCGCCCCACCCCACGCCCCCTCCCCTCGTTGTCCCTTCCTTCCCTCTCCCCCTCCTCCTTCTCCTCCTCCCTTCCATCCCTTTGCATCTCCCTCCCCTCCTCCCTCCCACCCTGCTTCTCCCGCCCCACCACAGCCTCCTCTCGTTGCGGTTCCCGCCCCACCAGCTCCCCCAGCCCGGCTCGCAGCAGCACCGTGCGCCGGATTGCGGCCCGCATGGGCTTCGCTGAGTCGGGCGTCAGCCAAGGGAAGGACAGCTGGGTGGGAGGAGGGAGGGGGGGAGGTGTAAGGGAGGGGAACGAAGGAGAAAAGAGAACGGAGAAACAAAGAGAGGAAGAGAGGGGGAAGAACGTGAAACAGCAGCCGCAGCAGCGATGCTCAGCCTAGGCATGAGCAGCAAGACAAGTAAAAAACTCGCCTCGTTTTCGTTACTCGTTTTGGGCGAGTAACGAGTCGGTAGTTTCAAAGAAATTACTCGCACGAGTCGAGGCGAGTAATACGTCTACTGGAAATTTGAATTTTGACATTGCGGGTAAAATATGGCACGTATTGCAAGTGACACATCTACGCACTCAAAACTCATTGTCTGCAAGCACATTAACAGGATGCTGAAAATGTTGCTAGGAAATGGCCCCATCCTCGCTTAGGCGAAGCCGACTTCGCAGTTGGGTGCGCGTGAGGTGCAGTCGACTGCTGTCAATGGTCAACGCCGACTTGGGAGAGGAAATCGACAGACTTGGTCGACTTCTGCGGCACCACTGTGAAGCTGTCGATGCGGTTAAGTCGGCGGCCAACTTCGACTTGGGCAGTCGACGAGGGTGTTCGTCGACCTGAGGGCGCCGACCTAAGGGCGCCGGGGACATTACCTGGTCGACGAAGTTCTGTGGGGGTGCGTGGACGTCGCACATGAGTTGATGCGAAATCGACCTGCGGGCTGGTATCCCGAGGTCGACGTGACACAACTCGCACAGCCGTCGTCACGTGGCCGACTTGGCACCTGCGCAATGCTCGTGACAGCGCACGACAGGCTGAACCGTCGATCCGCACCTGCGCTATTGTCACCTTCAGTTGCAACGCTAGCAAGCTGCCTTGGTGAAGTGCTAGCGGGTCGCCGACTTGCATCGTTGGTAAGCCGTCTTCCACCTGTGCTGGCACGGTGTCGACTTGAAGTGCTGGCAGGCCACTCATGTGCTGCACTGGAGGTCGACCTACCTGTCTGTGCGAATAGTTGCTAGGCCCCTGATGAAGTCATTGTTGCCATTGCATTTTGCATCATTGTTCAAAACAATTGTAGTGAAACTCTTGCCAACATGTGAACACGCAAGTGCTAGAGAACACAAGGTACGTTATGGTCACTCGTACCAACCGTGTCTTTCCACGTAGTCCAACTCCCGGTGTAGAGTGACTCTCTGCAGAAAGCACACCGTGCGCACTCACCACTTGCTTGCACTGCTCGCAGGCAGGCGCACGACAGACTGTGAGCGGCATGTGGGAGAGCAGTTCCTGTGCGTAGAGCAACAGGAAAACCCCGCAGTCACTCAGATTCGGCTGCTGGGGGACCTGTGCTTGGGAAGGAAAAGCGATGAGGAGAGGCAAAACGCGCACAGATCAATTGATAGACATGAGTGAATTTCGAACTCAAACCCGTTTGAGCTTGATCTTTCAAGGTTCGAGTCGAACCTTCAGCACTTTGATAAGACTAGGGGGCAATTAAGTAACAAAAGGTTCAGGTTCAACAGACGACTACACGCTTCAGTAATAATAGAGTTCCGGGTCGACCGATTAGACTGAAACCCACTGCACTTCGAATTTTTGCTCCTGCCTACAGTGCAATGCTGTGAGGCGGAATACTTGCGCTGCTACTTTAGATCTTCGTATCTGCTTACTGACAAGGTAGGAAGGACAAGGTACAATTTGGAAAAAGTCTCCTGGCATTACCTTGGGGCGAAACACAGGAAGGCGGATGAAGGCCTTTCTCAGCGCTGGCGTGAGGGGCACCTTGTGGCGCACGAGGTACTCCTCCTGTAGGTACCTGGTGGTGGCGATGGGTATGGGTGGCATGCATGGTGTGGTGGAGTGGCATGGTTAGGGCAGTGCAGGGAATGAGAGGAATGCGTCAAGTCACCTCGACTCATTGCCTGTCAGTGCACAAAGCCATGCACGCAACCACTATAACCCTCCCCAACCCCTGTCACTCATCATCCTCTCTTCCTTTGCTCGCCGCTGATCCTCCTTTCCTTGAACGCCCCACATTCTTGCACACCCCACATCCCAACAGTGGAATGTGCAGATACAGCAGTGGCAACAAGCAGAGAGTAGAAGTGCATAGCAGAATGCTCAGAGCAGGCGGACTAGCCCTGCATTCCTCGCCCCTCCCCAATCCAACCAACTCTACCTCCTCCCCACTTCCCTGCTCCAGCCCGGCCTCTGACTAGTACCCACCCAGCCCACACAACCCTTCCAACACTTGACAACTCTTCCTTCACCCCACCACCCCACAACCCGACGCACGGCCGCACAGCTTCCTCCACGTCCAGGTGCAGCCCCCATCCCACAACCATTCCCCAACCCAACAACTATTCTGTCATGTCACCCCACAACCGTGCCCCCACAACCGTGCCCCCGCAACCGTGCCCAACTCACGTGCGCACGGCCTCCTCCACATCCAGGTGCAGCCCGGGTAGCGAGTCAAAATGCAGAATGCACGGCACTGCCTCGTGGCCGGGGGGTGTGGGAGCAGCAGCCTCGTGCACAGAGGTTGCAGCAGAACCAGGGTGGTGAGACGAGGATGTGGGAGGTGGATCATGGGGCGGAGATGGAAAAGGCTCATCGGTAGGCGATGAGGAAGCAGGGGCGACAGAGGCTGGCTGTAGAGAAACAGGAGGTTTGGACGATGCTGGGGGATGGGGAGGAGGAGGGAAGGGGCTGGTGAGTGGAGGGTAGGGGCTGGTGGAAGTGACAGGATTGGGGGTGGCATGAGAAGGGTTGGGGCTGGCATGGGTCGACTGGGAAATGGTGGATGGGAGTGGGCGGTCTGAAGTATCGTGTGAGGGTGTGGTTTGACGCGGTTTAGGGCGGTGAGGAGAGGCAGGGAGAGCTTGGGGTGAAAGTGGCAGGCTCTGTGTGGAGATGTATTCTTGCAGAGGGGAATCGTCAAACGTGGACGCTTCTAGAGTGGAAGTTGATAAAGGGGCTGCAAGGGGGGATGGGGATGGGGGTCGATGTGATGGCGATGGTGGGTGTACTGGCTGGGTGATTGTTGATGGTGGAGGGTGCGGCTGCATTGTTGCTGCGGCTGCTGCTGATGATCCCACAACACCTGCTGCATATGCTGCTGCGGATGTTGAGGCTTGTACTGGTGCTGCTGCCACAGGCAACAGAGGTGCTGCCGGCTGTGGCTCTGACTCACGTCTCAATGGTTTCGCCTGTGCTGCTGCTGATTCTGCTGCTGTTGATGTCGGTGGTGTAAGTGGAAGAATCTTGTTGGGATGGCAGATGACCAGCAGACTCCAGTGGTAGCTGCAAGGGAGAATGGCACGGGCAAGATAGCGTGGAAACTTATGAATTGTGCAAGGCAAAACAAAACATCTTGTTCTGCATGGTTTGCTTTGCTGTGCACAACAGCATGTATGGCTGAGAGATTACAGGTGTAGCCCCACATAATGCATGATTCATCACTGCGTCTAAAAATAGGGGCGAAACAAAGAGGCTCAAGAACGACCCACCTGAGGCCCACAGGAGACCAGAGAACACACACACACATGACAGAGAAAGGGCTTACCTGAGGTTGACAGGGATGAAGACGAAATCACAGGCGAAAAGGTTGACCCCCTTGGTCCACTTGCGCACCCGCCAGTGCGCCGCCTTCCCCTCCTCCTCCCCCCCTCTACCCCTCCTTGCTGCCTCCACCGCTGCAGCGGCAGCATCAGCAGCAGCACGTGTGGCGGCAGCAGCAGAGGCATGGGTGGAAAGAAAGGGGTCGTCCTTCTCCCCACCGATCAGCATCTTGAAAAAGAAGCTGTTGAAGAAATGCACAGAGGGAGGGGGCTCCCGTGCCCCACCTGCCTTGGTGCCAGCAGTGGTGGTGCTGCCGGGCTTCTCTCGTGCCGCCGCTGGTACCTCCTTGCTTCCATCCCTGCCTGCGCCCACACCACTGCTGCTCCCCTCACCTGCTGCCGCGGCTGCTGCTGCTGCTGCTGGCGGCGGTGGTGGAGGCAGTGCTTGGTCGGGTGCAGCAAGGGAGCAGGCGATGCGGCGCTGCTCCATGGCCTGCACCTTCAGATGCCTGCGGTAGGCAGAGGCGGGGAGGCAGAAGGGTGGAAATCAGCCGCAGAGGAGGGTGAAGAATGTGAAAACACTAGCTGTTCTTCATAAGGGCAAGATACAGGTCAAAAAACAAAGGAACGACCCGGGTTATAAACGAGCCGGTTTGACCTAGATTCGGCCGTCCGTCTGCTATTGCCTGTTTCAGAGAGTGCCACTCACAGCTGCGATGAGCTCTCCTTTCATATCCTACCCTACAGTCTCGCCTCATCCCAACAACTCACCTCCAGGAAGAGCCAATGATTTGCCTCACATGTCACCATTCGAGGCATTCACTTAAGGAGTCAATGAGGGTATCGTTGAGGCACTCCTCTGGTCTGAGCGCCTCAACAACACCCTCATTGACTTCTTCCTTAAATGAATGCCTCGAATGGTGACATTTGAGGCAATTCATTGGCGTCAGCCATTCCACATCCTCTCACTGCACCATCACACTGTCCGTGCCCGTCGCCGTGGAGTCGAACGCCTCGACCTTTGAGTCGACTCAAGTGTCAACGTGAGAGGCATTCATTCGAGGAAAAAATCAATGAGGGTTTCATCAAGAAACTCTTCTGACCTAAGCTTCTCTACGTCCTCCCAGCGCACACGTTGCACGTGCAGTGCACGTCACCTGCAACACACCTCAAGCACTGTCCGACCACCCCGCTCACTTGAGGAAGAAGTCAATGAGCGTGTCGTTGAGAAACTCCTCTGGCTTGAGTCGCTCCACATCTTCCTACTGCACCATCACACTGTCCGTGCCCACAAACGCCTCACCTTAGAGTCGACTCAAACGTGACTGCGAGAGGCACTCACTTGAGGAAAAAGTCAATAAGAGTATCGTTCAGAAACTCCTCTGGTTTCAGTCGTTCCACATCCTCCCACCGCACCGTCACGCTGTCCGTGCCCGTCGCCGGAAACACAAACGCCTCAAACTGCTGCCGACACTCCGCCAGCCACTTCCTCTGCGCTGCTGCCAGCAGCGCCGCTGCCCTCCTGCGGTTCTGCGCTGGTGGAGGTGGAGGAGGAGGGGTGGCAGCCCGTGGGGCGACAGCATGAGGGGGAGCAGGTGGGGGAGGAGGGGTGGCAGCACGGGTTGCAGCAGCAGCAGCGACGAGAGGAGCAACTGGAGAAGCAGCAGCAGTAGCACAAGCAGAAGCAGCTGGAGGATCACGAGGAGCAGGAGGAGCAGGAGGCGGGGGAGATGCGAGGGGCACGGAAGGTACAAGCGGCACAGGAGAGGACACAGGGGTGGAGAGCGATGCAGAGGGCGCAGCAGGGAGAGCGGAGGGTTGCTGTTTCCTCGCCCTGAACTCCTGCACACTCTGATCGATGGCAGCAGGTTCTGCCGTGCGCGCCAGCGCAACCCATGCTTGCAGAAACGCAGTGCGCTGCTCCCGCTCGGGCTGCTGGGGCTGCTGCTGCTTGCGCTGCTGGGGCTGCGGCTTGGGCTGCTGCTGCCGCATCTCTTCCCAGTTCCCCCATTCCTGCTGCGCGTCCTGCTTGGCCCGCTCCTTGTCCGTGCAACCTCCCTCCACCTCCCTTCCCTTACCACTCCCACGCCCACTGTGCTCTTTATCGCCCCCCTTCCTTCCATCTCTTCTCTCTCCATCCCTCACAACCCTTCTGACCTCCTCCTCTTCCCCTTCCTCCTCCACTTCCTCCTCCTCTTCCTCTTCCTCCTCTTCCCCTTCCTCTCCTTTCTCTTCTTCACCCTCCTCCACCACCTCCACCTCCACCACATCCTCCTCCCCGTCCTCCCCACTACTCCCATCCTCAGACGCCTCAGCACTGGAGGAAGGCACCACCTCCGCCACGCCAAACATCTCCAACAGCCCGCCGCTCTGCACGCGCCCACTCACACCGCGCCTGCTCGCCACTTGCATCCCACTCTCCTCCCCCCTCTTCATAAACAAATCGTCCTGCCCACTACCCTCTCTCTCCCCATCCCGTCTCTCTGCGCCCCCACTTCCTCCACCACCAACTCTCACAGAACCCCGTCTCACAACGCCTCCTCCTACCACAACACCCCCTCTCCTACCCACCTCTCTTCCACCCTTTCCCTCACAGACTTCGGCATTCCCTTCTCCACCCCTTTCAGCACCACCGATTCCCTGCCGTTGCCTCAGCCCTCCGGCTGGCGCACCTGCCACCACATCCTCTCCAGTGGCCTCCCTCAACGACCCTCTGTCCGATATCGCCCCACCCGACAAGTCATCTCCACGTGCCCGTTCAGACCCGCCTCCACTGGTAACCCTATCACGCTTCCTGCCCAGAGTCTCGACTTCCGCCCCTTTCTGAGGCTTCTCAAGAACACTCTCCCGGGCTCCACCACGCCCATGTGCCTCGGGCTCATCTCTGGCCTGCCGCACTTGTTCCCGTCTGCCGCATCTCCCATCAGTGTCGCCCCCACCCTCTCTCCCTCCAGCTTCCCTCCCTCGCGGTGCTCTGCCTTCCAGCTCGCCTTTACCCAACGGCCTTTCTGCTGCTGCCTTTGCATTCGTTACACCCTTCAGCTTCGCCAACCCACCCAGGCCACCCCATCCATCTCTTCCACCTCTATCTCCTCTTTCACATCTGTCACTCGCACCTTCATCACCACCACCACCTCTCTCACCCCTACCACTTGTATCAGCAATACCACGGGCTCTGCACACGGGGATTTTAACAGCAGCAGCAGCAGCAGCAGCAGCAGCAGCAGCAGCTATTCGACTTCCAGCACCCTCTGCACGAGCACGAGCACCACGAGTCCCCTCAGCAGCAGCAGCATCAGGTGCATGTGCATGTGCATCCCCGCGTGTGTGCAAGGGTGCATCGCTCACTAGGCCCTGCCACAGTGCATACAACCCCCCTTCGCTGCCATCCGTGTGGTCGCGCGCAGCTCCGGCCGACCGACGGCTCAGATCGCACTGCAGCGTGTCAGGATCAGCATCAACGGCCCCACGCTTTCGTGGCTCCCTTTGGTTGGCGAGAGAGTAAGAGGTGGCACCACCACCACCACCAACACGTTGCTGGCTGTTGCTGGTGCTGGTGGTGGCATGATGAGAAGGAGGTGCTTTGTTGTGAGGAGGAAGGAGGGCGGCGGCGCGGAGGGAAGGGACGTAATCTGCCGGCCGGCCCATGGGCTGACACCCACGGCCTTGCATCGTTGCCCGGTTGCGCTGCGCTTGAAACCCCGACAAGGGTGGAAGCTTCTTTGAAGCTTCGCCTGTGTGTGGGACAATGAAGGAGAGGACGATGAGGGGAGGAGCGGGGCGAAAGATGGACATGGACTTGAACAGAAATGCTGTCATGAAATGATGCGAACCCAGGCTGGAAACTTGGGAGGGGGAAGAGACGGGAGAGAGTGGCGGAGAGAGGAAGATGTAGGGAGCCATGGAGGCGCGGCAGACAAAAGCCACGTTTCCAGACGCACCACAACAAGCTAACCCTTTCTCCCATCTCGGCCTTTCTTACCACTTTCCTCTCGGTCCCGCTTCGTTCCTCTCTTCGCATTCGCGCCTGCAGCACTGCATCCATTAGTAACGAGACTGCTTTTAGCGCGTCCCGCGCCTGATGCTACTTCCACGCACTCATCCTCCTCCTCCACCTCCTCTACCTCCTCTACCTCCTCGACCTTCCCCTTTCCCTTAGCCAACCGTCCTGGCGCTCGTCTTGCCGCTCTATCATTCCCCAACGGCTTCTCCACTCGCCTTGTCCTCAACGATCGCGTATCCTTCACGCCACCGCGCCATTCCACCACGTCAATCTCATCCTCGTCAACGCCATCCACGTTATTGTCATCCTCGTTATCGTCATCTTCGTCATCTAAGAGAATCACGTTGGTCGCTGCAGCTCGACGAGTCCCGCCGGCCATGTCACTAACGTATCTTCTCTCTCCTAGCACTCTTTCCGTGGGATCTTGCAACTCGCGACTGAAGGGGCGGCGAAAACACGGAAGACTGATAAAAGAACCCAATATCGATCCGTCACCCCACTGTAACTATGATGAGAAGGACTTGCGGTGAAGTGACGGAGCGTGCTTCGCCGCTTGCTGCTTGCTGCTTACGGCTAGAATAGGTCTATACAGGGAGAAGCTACTAGTACAGGTTCAGCACTAGCGTGGTATTGTATGTATGGGTACGTTTGAGTTCTATCCCTGCTCACCAGCTAGGAGAGGACCTTCAAATTCGCAAACCGTGATGGCAACAGAGGCAAAAATGAATGACGTATTCGCGAAGGTCACGATGTGTTCAGACAGCAGAAATTGGACAGAATTCGTACAGCAGATGGCACGAGAAAACCAGAGTTCAAGCGTCTATTTTTTCGGGACGAATCACGTTCGTTTCCGGTCACAAACTGTCCCGCGATCGATATATACGATCTGAAAAAAGACGCACGACGGTGACGACGCTACGTCGGATCGGATACGATGTAGTACGACGGTCTCATTGCAAAACGTCGCATGATCCAAAACTCGAAATTTACGATGTTTATGCGATGTTACCGTGTGTGTTTTTAATCTTTGATGATTGCAGTCTTATTACTTCTTTATGCTATACGTACCGCGCCTGCATCTCGAGTGGTCGTAAACGAGACAGTAGAGCGGAGTTCTCGAAGGGGTGATAAGGGCGTGGCTCCATTTTGACTTTTGACGGTTCGAACCGCCGACGAATAGGGTTTCCCGTCTCGTTAAACCACGTTGTTAAATGAGAGGCTATGCGAGCATTGTCGAAATCAGTATACCGGTTTCGCTGACGGTTCGAACCGTCAAAAAACAAAATGGAGCCACGCCCTAAGTTGCGTCTGCGACCACCACCAGATTCGACGGCCACGATTCTGAATGTACTAGTAACGAGGACATTCTGCGCGAGAGGCGGTCGACAATGCATTGTACGAGCCTCTGCCGTCAGAGAGTGCATAGACTGATGTCAGAACATTATAGCTTATGCTGTTGTGTAGGCTATAGTGGGGTATCCCATAGGGGGTACAACCAATTAGGGTTTCATATTTGTACTCACTTCATTTTCATAGTCCACCCCATTCTCGTTCTCATTCTCACATGGAATCAGAGCAGGTCCCCTCCTAGGGACTGTTCCTTGGGCCCACCGAAGCGCGCCTCGAGTCGCGCCTGCCTTTTTTTTTTAGCGGCCCGTCGAGTCGCACCTAGCGGCCCGTCGCGCCGCCCTTACGGTCGCGTCGAGCCGCCCTAGCGGCTGCGGCGCGCCGCCCTTTTCCCGGCCCGTCGCCGCCCTTACCCGCGGCTTTGCGCCGCCCTCACCGGCGGCTTCGCGCCGCCCCTACCTGCGGCTTCGCACCGCCCAGGCCCGTCGCCGCCCTTCCCGCGGCTTCGCGCCGCCTCTACCTGCGGCTTCGAGCCGCCCCGGCCCGTCGCCGCCCTTACCTGCGGCTTCGCGCCGCCTACGGCCCGTCGCCGCCCTTTTCTGCGGCCCCGCCGCCTCTCTCGTTGCGGCCCCGCCGCCCGTCTTCGCGGCCCCGCCGCCATCTCTCGCTGCGGCCCCGCCGCCACTCACTGCGGCCCCGCCACCCGTCTCAGCGGCCCCGCCGCCCGTCTTCGCGGCCCCGCCGCCTCTCTCGCTGCGGCCCCGCCGCCTCTCACTGCGGCCCCGCCGCCCTACTCAGCGGCCCCGCCGCCCGACTTCGCGGCCCCGCCGCTTCTCTCGCTGCGGCCTCGCCGCCTCTCTCGTTGCGGCCCCGCCGCCCTTAACTGCGGCCCCGCCGCTTCTCTGCAGCGGCCCCGCCGCCCGTCTTCGCGGCCCCGCCGCCTCACTACCCAGCGGCCCCGCCCTACGTCAGCGGTCCAGCCGAGCCGCCCAACAGCAGCGCAGCCGAGCCGCCCAGCAGCAGAGCAGCCGAGCCGCCCCGCCGCCGAGCCGCGCTGCAGCCGAGCCGCCCGGCCGCCCACCAGCCGAGCCGCCGTGCAGCCGACCGCCCAGCCGCCGAGCCGCCCAGCCGCCGAGCCGCCCAGCCGCCGAGCCGCCCAGCTGCCGAGCCGCCCAGCCGCCGAGCCGCCCAGCCGCCGAGCCGCCCTGCAGCCGAGCCGCCCGAGCAGCCCTGTCCGGTGAGCACAGACCCTCTGTCACTGCGTGCTCTTCCCCTACTCCTTGCACTGCTGGTCTACTGCTGTCATGGCTACCCCTAGTGTCCTCACTTTTGACGCTGAGGGTCGGGCCATTGACTTTGAGGTCTGGGTAGATGACCTACAGCTGTTCTTACAGTGCGATAGGGCGGACGGCCTCTCTCTCTTTGACCTCACCTCTGGCGCTTCCCCTGCCCCTGCTGCTGATGCTGACGCCACTGTTCGCTCCCAGTGGGCCACGCGCGATGCTGCTGCACGTCTTGCTGTGCGTCGCCACCTCCCTACCTCCGAGCGTGCGCACTTTAGTCAGTACAAGAGTGCTCAGACCTTGTACGCCGCTGTAGTCGCGCGCTACTCCTCCCCTTCCACTGCTGCACTGAGCCGTCTCATGCTGCCGTACCTCTTCCCTGACCTTGCTTCTTTTCCCACCGTTGCTGACCTCATTACGCACCTCCGCACTAGTGACACTCGCTACCGCGCTGCACTTCCTGCTGACTTCTGCACCGCGAACCCCCCCCCCATGTACATCACTCTGTACTTCCTAGTCACTCGCCTCCCTGACTCCCTTCGAGTAGTCAGGGACCACTTTCTCTCAGTCTGTCCCACCACACTCACTGTAGACCTCCTCGAGAAGGCCCTCCTCGCGATAGAAAAGAGCATAGTCGCTGTAGGAGCCTCTCGAGGTGACCCGCGCACCCCCATCTTTGAGGGGTGTTCTCCCTCCCCCCTGCTGCCCTCTGTTGCCTCTGCTGCTTCGGCCGACCTCCTTGGTCTTGAGTCGGTCGGTGCGGCGTCTGCCCCTAGCGGGAGACGCCGCCCTGGCAAGGGAAAGGGGGGCAAGGGAGCTGGAGGAGCGGGCGGTGGAGGTGGAGGTGGAGGCAGTGGGGGGAGTGGGGGTAGCGGTGGAGGTGGAGGTGGGGGTGGGGGGTTCGGTGGCGGCAGTGGAGGCGGAGGCCGCGGCGGCGGTGGCGGTGGTAGCGGAGGTGGCGGAGGAGGCGGCGGTGGAGGAGGCGGTGGAGGCGGCGGCGGCAGTGGAGGCAGCGGAGGCGGTGGAGGCGGTGGGGGTGGCAGTGGAGCTGGTCGCGGGTCTTTGCAGAGGAGTGGCTCCGGTGGTGGCTCGCGCCAGCAGCAGCAGCGTGGTCGTGCGACCCTGTCCCCTCAGCAGCTCCGCGAGTGGTACACTGCACGCCAGCGGGGTGGGGGTTTTGGTCCGTGTACCTACGTCCTGCGCACCGGCGACCGTGCGGGTGAGCAGTGTGGGGGTGCGCACCCCACTCCGCGCTGCTTTGGCCGCCTGACGGACGCATGGCGTCACCAGTTCCCGGAGGCCTCCGAGATCCCTCGCTGGGACGAGCTGTCTAGGGCGGGGGTTGCCATCTTTGATCTGGACTTTGATGCTATTCTCTCTGCCATGTATGCTGTGTCTATTAGTGATGAGGGTGACTGTTACCGGTGTTTCCAGCCCGATCCGGGCATTGAGACTGCTGCTCTAGGTACTGGTGAGGCTGCTGCCCTAGGTGCTTACGACGCTGCTGCTCTAGGTGCTGGTGTGTCTGCGTCCTCAGGTACTGGTGAGTCTGCTCTCTCAGGTACCGCGTCGGCTTCGGCCTCCCTCACCTTCACTCTTGACTCTGGGGCGTCTCGCTCCTTCTTTCGGGACCGCACCACACTCACGCCGCTTAGTCGGCCGGTTGCGGTGTCTCTGGCTGACCCCTCTGGGGGTCCGGTCCTGTCTCGTTTCTCCACAGTCCTCCCGTGTCCGGCGGCTCCCTCTGGCACCCTGTCTGGTCTCTACCTCCCCTCGTTCTCGACGAACCTGGTGAGTGGTGCTGACCTACAGGATGCGGGTGTCCACCAGTTCACTCCTGCACGTCAGCGAGTGACCCACTGTACAGAGGCTGGCACAGGCCGACACCTGGCTACGTTCACCCGCCAGCCGGGGTCGAGCCTGTACACTCTGACCACTGCGTCTCCTCCAGTTGCTGAGTCTGGTAGGGTAGTTACGTCGGGTCAGGTGTTTGCTGCGGCGTCCAGGTCTGGTCCTGAGTCTGCCCCCTGTTCGTGTCGTCTCCTGTCTCACGAGACTCTCCTCTGGCACCACCGCCTTGGCCACCCCTCTCTGCTTCGGCTCAGAGGTATGGCCTCCCATCTTCTTGTGTCCGGTCTCCCCCGGTCCCTCCCTCCCCTTCCTCAGGGCCCTGGCCCTGCCTGTGTCCCCTGTGTCGAGGGGCGCCAGCGTGCTGCCCCTCACTCCTCCCAGTTTCCTTCGACAGAGGCCCCGTTGCAGACACTTCACATGGACGTGTGGGGCCCAGCCCGCGTCCGTGGACAGGGTCACGAGCGCTACTTCCTGCTCGTTGTTGACGACTACTCGCGTTACACCACAGTCTTCCCCTTGCGCAGCAAGGGTGATGTCACTGAGGTGCTGATCGACTGGATCCGCGCAGCTCGTCTCCAGCTCAGGCAGAGCTTCGGCTCGGACTTTCCTGTTCTGCGTCTGCACTCGGACAGAGGCGGAGAGTTCTCCTCTGGCCTTCTGCGTGCCTACTGTCGTGCACGGGGCATCCGTCAGACCTTCACGCTTCCGGACTCACCGCAGCAAAATGGGATTGCTGAGCGCCGCATTGGCATGGTCATGGACGTCGCTCGTACGTCTATGATGCATGCGGCTGCCCCCCATTTTCTGTGGCCGTTTGCGGTGAGGTACGCGGCGCATCAGATCAACCTCCACCCCAGGGTCTCCAGGCCGGAGACCTTCCCAGCCTTGCTGTGGACGG